GCCATCTCTCCCATGTGTCTCCTCCAACCCTCACATCAAGGGCAGTGCCATGCAGTCTCCTGTTCTCTCCCTTTTAAAATGCTTCCCATAGGTTGTCCCAATCTGCACACTCCTCACTTCTTTCTCAAGCTCCCCTGTCCAGAACCTGTGTGTGCAAGCTCTTTTCTTTCTTGCACCCCCTTCACGCCATGCTGTATTCCAAGTTCCCCCCACTCTCTCTATTCCCAACCAGGGTACAAGCAATTCCAATACCAACAGCTTTACATTTCCCTGGAAGATCAGCAGAGTTGACTTAAGAGGGAACAGTGAAAGCATGAATGGTACCTGAAGCTACCACAACCACAAATCAGTTCTTCATTCACTACAGGGACACCGACAGTGTCATCGACCAGGCTCTCTCTCACCACAGCTTCACCACCCACATGCTAAAAACCAACAAGACTCTACATACTGGTACCCAGAACAGTCTCTGGTTGAAAGCTAGGCAGCTGTAATATTTGGAAGTTACTTTTCTACAGGTGAATGAAGAACAAAACACCTAAATACCATCCCAGAAACTTACCACATGGCAAGACAATAACACCAGATCTGGCTCGGCCATTTCCAAACATCTTCCTCAGACTTTTCTCCTGATAGGGCCTGAGGACAGCTGTAGGTTTCAGATCTATATTAATATCAGGATTCAGAGAATCATTTCTGAAATCATATTCTGCCAGCAAGGGGTACTCCAAATTGATACAACGCTTCTGAAGTTCTTCAATCATGTCCTGAACAGGAAACAAAGCTTCAGATGGTACATTCTCCACATCTGAATTAATTCTTTCTTTTCTTTCCCCTAAACAACCACACTATATAGTACCATATGAAGTGACAGAAATTCTATGCTTATGATGTCTTCCAGAGTTAAAGTTTCTTCCAAAATCTTTAATTGTAACCACTCCCAGCCCCCTCAAACATTTTAAATAAGTCGATATTAGAGAGGGTTATTTAGACAGATGGAAGAACACGACACATTAATCTCAGATGTAGGTATGTTGTTTCTCAGGCAGTGACTAAACTGCACCCTGAAGCCCTGCAACAAAGAGTTCAGTAAGAGATACAAAAGGTTCCGTGTATTACACAGAAGGACCTACCAAAGCTGCACATCTGTTACCTAGAAAATCTGCACACCCTGGTTATTCCAGCACAATGACAGGTTCATGCAATCACCAAGAGGTTGCTGGTTTGGTTTGGGTTTTTTTAAATAAACAAAATAGCTACTAAGTTATCTGTTATAAAAGTATCTGTTTGCCCCAATAAGGCATCATTAGAGTCACCAAGTCCAAAAACAACTTGAGAAATTTTTACAGAAGTGTCCCGGTTTGAGCTAAATAGAACTAATTTTCTGTTTAGTGATTTTATTTTTCAGCTCAGTCACTTCTAAGTGGCTGTATTTGCTGAAACTAGCAGCATGTTTATCCAGACAGTGTGTACTTCTGCAAGTGATAATGCTTGTATGTTATGTAAACATAACAAGGCCACTGTCCCATCATGGGTTTTGTATCCGCACCTGTGGGGAGGAGCGGACCCAGAACTGACCAACGAGGTATTCCATCCCACAGACGGCACACTCGGTATAAAGCTGAGGGACCATAAGGGTCTTGGCCCTTCTCTTCTCCCCTCTTGCTCTTCTTCTCCTGCGATGGTCGAAGTCCAGGCAGAACCCTGCTAGTTCATCTGCCTCTGATCCTGATCTGTGTGCTCCTGAATCCAGTTCCTGCATCCTGCTCCCACTGCTGCTGAGTGTGGTCTGGGGCTTTTCCAGTGCTCAGCTCCACACAGCCTCTGGTGACGTAATCGTCATTGGGGGAGGGTGGGGGGAGGATTTTATATTGGTTTTATATATACATTTGTACATATCTGTATATATTTCATTATTTTCCTATTTATATTATTATCCTGTAGTATTACTATTATTGTTTCATTAAATCTGTTAGTTTTCTTTTTCAACCTGAAAAGCCTTTCTCCCTTATTCTCTTTCTCTTCCCCTCCTGTGGAGGGGAGAGGGGTTAATAGAAAGTGTCTGTCCACCATTTAGTGGCCAGCCCAGCCCTAAACCATGACAAAAATTTCTCTAAGGTCAAGTCAGGACTGTGCTCCAACCTCCAGCTACCCTTCTCAAGCTATGAAATGAGAATCACCAAGAATTCCTTATGCAAATATTAATCACAAAACCAAACTAGAAAACAACTCCAAAATAAACAAACAAACACCCGGGAAAAAAGCTCTGAAACCAATAGCAGATTTGCCTTTTGCTGCATTCTTGCTTGTGTTGCACACTGCCCAGGATGGGAACCTGCCTTGGCCTCTGGAGCTCCTCTCCTGCCTGTGAGCACTAAGCCTCACAGGAAGGGAAGCAACAATACCCAGTCTCCCTCTCACTGCACCAAAATGAGGATCTTAAGATTTTGGAGGCAAAAGGAAAGAAATGTTAATGAGTTCCAGTGATCAGCCCTATCAAACAAAGAGCCACAGTACTTTACGTTAAGTTCTCATGTTCATTTGAAAGTCCTGGGCACATTTTCCAAAGTTACAAATGCAGAGACTAAACTACTCATACCTGCCTGACTTCAAAATATACTGCCAGCTTTTCTTCCTCCTCCTCCTCATCTTTGTCCATCTGTTCATAAAACTCAAATAAGTCAGCTGGGACATCTGGCTTAGTCTGAGCATCTGCTGCCTGTGATGTTGATGGACCACTTTCACTGGATTTGGCAATCTGAAATAGACGAGTAATCAGTGTTTCATTAGACACTCCTCCCTCCCCCCAAATTTAAGGAGGCACAGATCATTGCTGAAAGAACGGAGAGCAACTGCTGGTAAAACAAATAGTAACCACTCCAAACTATACAAGAGTTTAAAGATGTCCAAACATACCGCTGATTTACTTGTGAGTGTCTCTACAATGATTTCTGTTTCTTCACCCTCAGCATTTTTCAAGCGACAGCCTCTAATAATGACATCTTGCAGAAGCTGCTGAATGACTTGAGAGTGGGTACTTTCCACAAAATACCTGAAATTGAAGAATAAAATATTTTTTATGAACAAATCAAGTCAATAACTTACAGGAAGAGTGGCATAGACGCTTAAAAATATAGCTATCCCAGATGCACTCTCAAGTATCCCATCATGAGGGTGGTAATTTAAAAATAAATAAATATCGCAATCAAAATTTTTAAAAGATGCCTTGTACCAAAAGCATCATGTACTTTGCCATTATCCATCTTGCTCAAATGTTTTCTGACATAACAAGAGTGGAAAAACTCTAGCAGAACTGCCTAGAGAGAGCTCTCACATGTGTCCTTCTTGTGACACAAGTCAATTATTATGAGACTGAACTGAGGTGAGTCTATGAAAACACTGGATGTGGTGTTTTAAAGCTCTGCCCACAAGACCAAAAAAGCCCAAAAGACAAAAGTCCAAAACCTCCAAAATACAAACAATCTAAAAATTTAAATGAGTGCATTCTGAAATTGTTTCTCTCTCTGGAGACTCACAATTAATGACACGGGTTGGAGATCACAGTTAAAATGTAAGCCAAGAGAGACTTAAGTCTTAGCTGGCATAAGAGAAAACTTTTTCTCAGAAACACCTATGAAGAGGACAAAATCCTGCTGGTAATGCTACCATTAGTTTTTCCTAAAGCAGTAGGCTAAAAAAAGCAGCAGCACAAGCAGAGCACTGGATTACAGTCCCAGGTTTTATCTGTGGCTGTCTGACAACAGAGAACATTTTTGCAAAAGAAATAAGAGGAGAAAGAGGAAATACAGGCAAGGTACAGATGTAGCCCTCAGGTTCCTGCTGCCTCCTTCCCTCTCCCTACTACAGAAGCACAGGTTTAGGTAAAATTGGTCAGTTCTAAAGTAGCTGAACTGTCAAGGTCCCTTCCAACGTTATCTTCTAGGTTTAAAACAAATCTGACTCAACCCAGCAATAAGCACGCACCTCTTGCCAATGGATTTGTTATCCTTCCTGAATAACGGATTACAAGTCAGAATGCACAAGACTGAAGGACAGCTGTAGAAAAACTTGTCTACCCAGGCTCATGTAAATTAGGAAGGACGGAACGAAACACTTATCTGAAAACCTTAAGTATACGTTGCAAGTCCAAGCAATAAAGAAACAAGCTAGAACATCAAATTTGTAACCTACTTTTAAAAACATACTGATGACCAAGATGGCCACACTGAATTAACTGACTAATGTATTGAACACTTTTGACAATTGAAAAGGTGATCTTATATTGACAGATGCTACACCCAGCTGGGAGCTGCAAGAGTCAACAGCTACCAAGACCACTCTTTTGTGCACAGCTGTGCATTGGGAGGGCTTCCTCTGCCACCCTAGTTAAGGAAGGAGCCACGTACCTGTTATGCTTCAGTACCAGCTTCACCTTCCCATAGCTGACAGTGCACAGCTACAAATGAACAAGAGCAATCATTAGGAATACGGAAAAGAGAGATTCCACGTTTGGGACCTAATGCTGCAATGCAGTTCAGGTCTCGGTGGGGAAGCACGGTACCACAGAACATTTACTTGCAATGTTGTTATATTTACGGAACAAACCTGAAAATGCATTTTCAGAACAGGCACACATCACCTCACGCCGGACAACACTTGCAGACATTCAGATTTTATACCCAGCTCCAATCTGCTTCCAAGACTGCACAAACATACTTGCAGGACAAGCAGGCTATGTTTTATAGCACCCAGCTATTCCAGTCTGCTTCCCACATTCACAGTCTTCTTCCAGAGCAAATCTGAGGAAACTTTCCCCATATAAAATTCCAGCCGACTAAAAGCGTGCACACAGACACACCAGTAAACCTTTTTTTAAAAAAACAAACCTGTTAACAACCCAGTATACATAGTATACATATACACAGTATACACAGTATACATATACACAGTATGTGTGCAGCAACAGACTACACAGAAAGACAAAAAATCAGATAAACCCTCTGCTCTTTTAAAACAGTGACAGAATAACATTAGATGGTAAAAACAATGAACAATTAAAAACAACTACATCAATGAAGCGGAGGCAGCAGGAAAGGCTTTCACAAGTAGCAGCAGACATTTCTAATGCCAATAAAACAGTCTTACCTTGATAAACTGAATGATTCCATCTGGGACACCAGTCTTGCTCAGTTTTTGTAAATACTCTATGATGTCGCTGGTTTGTAAGCCAACACTGACAGCAGCGTACAGGGAGTAGGCAGTCAGCTTGTACTCGTGAATGTGGGTCGGTCTGCACACAGGCTCAGCAATGGCAACCAAGAAATCCTGTGCGTATTTGTAAAGTGGAGAAAAGGCCTCCAGAAAAATATGGCCATCAGGAGCCTACAGAAACAAGAAGAAATGCAACACAACAGTGTTAGTTGAGCACAATACGAGACTTTCTATAAAGCAGCCATTATGACACAGAGATAATCCAATATTTAGTTGGTAAGGCATCATACTTTTTTTAAAAAAGCATTTGTCCTGACAATTAAGTTTCAAGAAAATTAAAGTAATTTTGAAAACAAAGAACCAACTTTAAAAAAACCCAACAAACACACCACAAAACTAACGTGAATTTAGCATATATATCTCAACATATTTTACTGTAACTATTCTTTCTCATCAGCATGTTGAAGCACTTAAAAAACGACAGCCAACTTTACACAAAAGCACAAAAACTAATAAAAGATGTTATAACTTCTGTCTTCTGAAAGGGTCCAGACACTGATCTGTCCATGTGTCTTCTAGGGCACTAAGAATAAACCACATCCAGAACAAATAAGATTTTCCAGACTGACATCTTGGGGTATTTTTTCTTTTTTTAATGCTAAGCAAATTGCCTGAGCAGAGCCAAACTTCCAGCCCTATTCCCCTGAAACAAAACACCCTCACTCATTTTACACAGAACGAGCAGAGGAAGAGAGATGCTGTCACTTCACAATGCCACAACAATCTGCAACAGGTGCCCTGCAGATGCTGGCAGGGCAACCATGCGCTTCCACTACTGGCTATATCTCGGACAAATTTATTGATGTCCCTTTCAGGGCAGCAAAAATAAATGGTACCAGTTACAGAAGACAAGACCAGCCTATCCTAAGGCTGTTTCATACCAACATGCAAACCCTGCTGCCATGTCACTGCAGCAACAGATGTCACTTGTGTCATCAGCCAACACTGTCACTTCCATGAGCCATTTCATCTCCCTCTCATAAACCCCCGGGTTAAGGTACCAGTGCTCCACTGCACTGCTCGGGCAACAGCACAGCCACAGCAAAGGGCCTCCAATGTAGATGGGACCTGTGAGGAGATTACCAGGGCGGGAGCCATTCACCCGGGTTTTTGATGGGCTCCTGGACACCAGGAGCTGGTGGTGTTACCCTGGGCAGTCTCATGCTGCTCACAGCCCAGCTGTCTCTGCACAGGTGCTGTGGGCATCGCACTCGCCCATCCTACCAGAGCCAGAGCAAACCTCGCTTTGAACGAGCTGCCAAGGCCAGTACCAGGCAGAGGCTCTCTCAACCCACACACAAACCCTTTTTCTTCGTGTCCCCACCACACTCCGGCGAGCAGAGCAGGCTCTGCTGTGCTGCCTGCAGCACTGTCCCGGCTTCTTCACGGGGATTAACACCCACAGAGCAACTGTGTCCCTGTCAGGTTCCCTTACAAACCCTATAGAGAAGGGACAGAGCAGCCAGTTCGTGTGCCCAGGCCTGCAGCCCATTTTACGCCGTGACAACCGCAGGTAACGGCATCCGCTGGCTCCACCGGGAAGCGTGTGCGCTCTCACCGACCCCCCAAGGAAACGAAAGCCCGCGGCGGAGCCCACCTACCACCCAGAGGGGACGCGAGGCGTGGTCGACCTTCAGGGGCATCTGCAGACGGTAGTCCTTTGCCCCGTACTCGTCCACCTTGGTGCCGCTGTCCTCCACCTGCTTCCCTGCTGCGGACGGCAGGGCCTGCTCCACCGGGAAGCGTGTGCGCTCTCACCGACCCCCCAAGGAAACGAAAGCCCGCGGCGGAGCCCACCTACCACCCAGAGGGGACGCGAGGCGTGGTCGACCTTCAGGGGCATCTGCAGACGGTAGTCCTTTGCCCCGTACTCGTCCACCTTGGTGCCGCTGTCCTCCACCTGCTTCCCTGCTGCGGACGGCAGGGCCTCCTGCGACTCCTTACCGGGAGCTTCGTCTTCATCCTCCTCGTCGTCCTCATAATGGCGTTTCTTGGCCTTCTTCTTCTCTGGGAGCAAAACCGGAGCCGTGACGAAGCCGCAC